ATGTATGTATATGGGTGGTGTTATGTCTATACATATGCATTTGTATTTTGTTGGTGTTTTATTTTATTTTATTTTGTTATATGAATATTACTGCTTGAGCCTTTTATGAACAATTTGTGACTGGTAGGGATAATTCCAAAGAGGATATTAATCCAGGGAGAGCTCAATGTAGACTACAGAGCTACATATTATAATAATCAAGAAGAAAACCTTAAAGATTCATTTTGGTTATAATTTATTTCATGAATATCTAGATACCCATCTCTTCAGACAGAAATAATAGTAAATCTTTACGAAGAGATTTTGGTCTGAAGAGATAATTATATAAATATTCATGGAATGAATTATAACCAAAATGAATCTTTAAGGTTTTCTTCTTGATTATTATGATCATATATATATATATATATATATATAATTACATAACAGAGAAATCCAAAATTACCTCATGAGTATAGGCTATTTCAACTAACATCAATCTGTTAGCTTTATTCAACTCAAATGGTGAACTGTATTCAGTGTCTGAACTAAAAATTTAATATTTAAAAATTTAATAGAGTCCACCATTTTTGTTGAATAAAGCTAATGCACTGGAATTAGTTGAAATAGTCTATACTCATGAGGTAATTTTGGATTTCTCTGTTATGTAATTTATATGCTCTGTTATAATAAATACACTGAGTCTTTTTTTTGTGGATCAGTTTTAATATTTTATATTATTAGGATCCACTTGGATTATATACCAATGGATTTATTACCTGGACTATATATATATATATATATATATATATATATATAACAAATATATTAAATGCAAAACATTTATTAATGAAGATTATATATTTGCTGCAAAACATTGAAACTTTAAAAAACACAAAGAAATAGCGGAAAAATAATTATTGGATCATCAGAAATACTTTGCAAATCCATCAGTTTTAAAGAATACAGAAAATTTTTCTATTTGTTTAAAAAAAAAAAATCATCTCTGTTAGCATTTTAGAATACGAGTCAATGTACATACAAAAAAAAAAAAAAAAAACCTTGCCATTGTTCAAATGTTAAATAACAGAATTACTGCAATACTTACAGCACAGCTAAGGGTAAATTGTTGACCATACTGAAAAATAAAATAAAAACTCCTGGGCCTAACAGGCCAACACTGGTCATGAGACGGCGTACAGAAAGGACTGTCCATTTGTTGGCCACAAGAGAGTCAGCAAAATGACCAGCGACTGAAACAACAACAAAAATATAACTTTAAAAAAAAAAATCTTTGAAGTAAATAAGTACGACTGTGTCATCTTTTAGTCCAACTGAGTCAACTTTCAAGTATATCTATTTCAAAGCAACAAAAATCTTTGTAGTGTGTAGTTTGCATTCTAGATCCAAAATTAATTTTGTTCCTCAAAATATTGACTGAAATACATTTCATTGATATTGTTCATAATAAAAAAGAAAGAAAAATAAACAAAGAAAGTAAGTAAAAAAAAAATGAAATAAAATAAACTTGGCAAGTCAGGGTATGTAGATCTGAGCTGGAGACATAATTAATAGGCAATGTATTTCTTGCTTTAATTTTATAAATAATCATTTAAAAATCTCTAATGACTTGCATGCCCTGTTTTTCAAAGAACACATTTTTATTTCAATGTATTCTTTTCAAATGTCCATCTTAAATTTATTTTGTACAGTATAAGGCTTTTTTAGCACAATGTATCAATTGAAAAAGGGGAAATTAAATTTAGCTCGACCTAAAGTCAGCAAAAATCAAAGAAAGCCTTAAGTGGTTGACTGGAGGGAGCGGGTGAGGAGTGTGACTGGGTTAGTGTCAAGGAAATATGATATCAGTCAGCAGTACTGATCATAAACATAAAATTCACAGAGAGATACATAAACACACTAATGCTCACACATACATACAAACACTCAAGATAGATACATGTTATTTATTTAAAAAAAAAAAAAAAAAGACACCTATCTGGCAAGGAATTTTTTTTAACTTATATATTTTAGAGTAAAGGAATCATTTTGGCATTGAAGTTATACCAATAGTATATTTTGTTAAACATTATAATCAGCCCGACAAACATTGATGACTTAGAGTCACCACTGATTTTTATATATATATATATATATATATATATATATATATATATATATATATACACTGCTGCTGCTGAGTCCCATATATATATGATAAATTATAGTTTTAAGATAAGCTACATTTATGAGCTAAAGTATTCAATATCAGGGATAAAGCATATGTAAATATAAAAGTGGACATTGAAGTCAATACCCAGAGGCAACAGTCTGATTTATGCTAAATGCAATTGTCAGGTCATGTGCATTGTGTTTTTGCTTGACTATTTATATATACAGGTCAGTGATGCATTGCGGGCCATCTATTGTATTTTTCTAATGGTTATTTTGGTGGGAAGTAATGGTTGTGTTTCAAATTGTTCTAGTGGCTATTGAGTGGGATTAATTGTGGATCCAGATGCAGTCTTTTGGGTTATTTATAATGTTGTTTGTTAGCTTTATTTATTTAATATATATATATATATATATATATATATATATATATATATATATATAATATGGGTTCTTCTATCATCTTCAATGGATGAGGGTCCAGCAGCTCAGTTCTTAGAACAAAACAGCTAGACAACCTGCACATGATTTGATTATAGTGGTTAAGGCTTGTGCAGAACCAACCAAACTTATCGGAAGAACCAAATACAGAGAATTGGTGTGTATAGTGGGCCACAAGGTCATCAAAAGACTCTCTTCAGGTTTTGAATTCAAACTCCTAGACTGGTTGTGAACCAAGGCTAAAGAGCACAGACTGCCCTACTATTTAACCCATAGCTAAGGGGGAGATGAAAAGATGGAGTTGTACCATTCTTAAGGACATATACACCACAACTGTTTGAGGTTTCCTATAGCCCTACTGAACTTAAAGTCAATTCAGGTTTGCTATGGTAAAAATTTTCTATCCCAAGAAAAAATCATCACAAAAATGGCAAAAGTCATTTTGTCACAGCTTATTTTCTCTCAAAAAATGGATTTTCATACTTTTATAGGTGTAAAATATTGAAAAATGACTGTTTTATCATCATCTAAACAAATATCAAAGAAACTTCTGATCTGAACCCCATGAAACTAGGTATTTTCTGAAAGCAAAGGATATATTCTTTCATTTAAAAGTAAAACTGGCTGGTGTAAATGACTCAAATTTTTATTTTAGGGGGTAAATTGAGAAAAAATAGTGAAAATTTTACATTTTTTTCTTGTTCTAAACAAAAATGTTCCCCATTAATGGGAAATTAACTATACTTCTTTTTGAAAATCAGAAAGCCTAAATCATAATCAAACTATTTCAGGCATAAAGTTGAGAGTTTTGAAGGAAATCAACATTCCTAGGGGGTCAAAATGCGACAGTTCATTGGTAATTTTCAATTATATGACTGCCAGGAGTTAAAAAAATTGACACCTGGCCATGGAAATCTTTAGCAAAAGACAAAAGATTTATCTGCAATTCCTGACCACCAGAAACCAAAAGTAAAATTAAGCCAAATTGACTTTGACATGTCTGGGTCAAAGGTCAGCCAGCAATAAACATTTAGAACAAGTTGTCGTCAGCTTGTAATAAAACCTACTACTCCCAGATAAGAGCAAAGAGTAAGAAAAAAAAAGGGTCAACATTGGAAGGGCTTTTTTTTGTTTTTTCTTCAAACCTATGTTTGAACAATCGCTTGATGTGTTTTGTTTTTAACACCTCGTGACCTGGTGATGACAACAACACTTAGCAGACAACATTGTTTTTTCCAAGCATGTCTTTCATATTTCCTATCACCGGGCCATTTAGCTGTTCCTTTTATTCAATGATGTTCATGCCAAATTAAGCAGAAAGGGATGAAGTTTGAATGATGTTATTTTGAAGTGAAAATAAATATTTTTTTATAAAAAAAAAAGTTGATTTTTCTAAGAAAATTGGGCATAATTTCTTAATGCTAACTGCCAAGTGACATTTTCCACAGCCAAATCGAAGATTAATTACCAGTGAATAATTCCATGTGCAAACAATAGCTGTCTGGATCCTATAATGTCGCCTGAGAAGGTCCAGAAGTTTACTGATTGATCGAAAACTTGTTGCACATAATTGTGTTTTTCACAGTCAGTTTCCATTATTTCATCTTGATGTCATTTTCGAACAGCCAAGTCATCAAGGATTCAGGAAAATAGTTTGGCACAGGTTTGCTTTAAGAACTTTACATTCTATGAGGTGTTTAAAATGTTACTGACGAATACGATTTTTTGACGAATATTTCGTTTATGCGCCATGTTGGAGTTTTCTATATGACAAAAATAAGTGTTTTAAACAGCCGTGACACATAAGTGAACGTAAGAAATTCAACAGGGATTTGAATTCAGGTCTCTGAATTCTCATTTGGATCCACTAACCATTACAACACCTGTACATCCAAATATATATTACAACACCCATACATCCAAATATATAGGATTTGGATCTGAAAAATTATTGATATAATCAAGATTTTTCCCACCACCAAAAACTAAATAAAAATAAAACAAATTAAGAAAAAAAAAATAATGCTGGGTCAGATATTTTGAAATGGGTTATAGATTTTCTCATACACACACAATATACATGTGTGTGTGTGTGTGTGTGTGTGTGTTATTTTTCTGTATATTAAAATTGAAAGTATGACAAAACTGTTACAGTTCATATCGCATTCAATAACTATAAATAACATTTAAATTGAATCGAAGGATTGTAAAAAAAAGAGGACTTTGATTTTTGAAATGTCTGGAGTCAGTTAAAACTTCAAATATTAATTAGACTGTCATGAATAGTGGATAATTCTTTCAATTCTAATATACAGGAATTAATCAGTAAATTAGAAAAAAAATATAAAATACAATTGACAACAATTTATCTATTCTCTTTAACAAAATTTGATTAAGTGAACACTTATATATATATATATATATATATATTTTCAAATAAGAGAAACAACAGATGGAGTAAAAATCCACAGTTCATAGCATTTACTTTTTAAAAAAAATAAAAAGTGCTCAATACAAAGTAGAGCAAAATATTATATTATAATGTTTTTATAATATATATATATATTTTATTATATATATATATATATATATATATATATATATATATATATATATATATATATATATACACACACACACACACACACAGTCTGATGATCCAGAGCCCTTTAAAAGGGTTGTGGTGAAATAACTTATTACATGGAACCTTAAAATGATCTGTTTTATTCAAACATATTTGCTCTGAATTTACATTGAGCTCTCTGGATATCATCCTCCTTGGGTCTACCCATACGGATTACCTAATTTTGCATATATATATATATATATATATATATATATATATATATATATATATATATATATATATATATACATACACACACCTATTATTATTAAGGTTATTTTAATGAATATACATGTTTATATAAAAAAAAAAATTATTTGCAAACAGAAAAATTGACATTTACTAGCCTACTATCTTGATAATGTTAATATTAGCCGTTTCCTACAAGGAAACATTTGGCATTCAGTGACCAAATACTCTGTACTGTTTTCAGATAAAATTTATAAAATCTTTCTCTTAAAACAATTTTTCAGAAAAATAGGTTTCTCAAGTCAAGTATCTGAGTATTTATCACTCTTTCCTGTACTAATGGTGGTTGGGGGGGTTCTTTCTTGACCTTCTATTTGAACCCATGTAGAATGCCAACATCTTGATGACATCATTATTTTCTCTTTCAGTTAGATATGCAATCCATTTTAGCTGTTGCTGCCCTTGGTAGTCCTCTAGTAATGCGTTTCTCTGTCATTTAGTACAGTTTTTTGTGATTCTGTAGTGCCAGTCCACAATATTCAAAGAAGGATGATCTTTGCCAAGACCATTCAGACTTCACATCATTCAAAACCTTTTCTCACCATTGATTTTAGGAAGTGGTTGTATACAGCTTACAGTTGAGATATTTCAGAATGGATTTGGCCCCATGTATGACATCCATATGAAAGTATCGATCTGGCAAAGCTATTTAAGAACATGACTTGAGTTTTCAGGTTGATATTTGGGTTTTGTAACATCTTGCAGTGTTGGACAAAACTACCACTGGTGCAGCTTATTCTATGTTCAATGTCCTTTTCTCCTAGACTAAATATATTATAATTGATCCATACACTGAGGTGGGAAGTCATATTAAAGGCCTTACAACAAGGAAAATGCTCAATTGCCTTATTTAAGAAACATACATCTCTTGTTTGGACATTTCATATGTCTATATCTGCTGACTAGTTTTTTCATTGGTTGGTACAACATAATAAAATTTCATTAAAATCTGAGGTGCCCATGGAACCATTGGTTGAATTAATACATACATTGGTTTATATACATATATAGGGTATGTTGGATAAATTGTCTAAATTAAGCAAAAATGAAAATAACACTGACATCTTATTTTAACATATATATTTACCAAAATTACACAAAAATATCTTTAAATACTAAAGAGTAAATTTATTCAATCGTCATTGGCTTCAACTACGGCCCCCAGATGACTTTGGAATCTCCTGAATCTCTTCTGGATGGTCTCCTTGTTTAAGTTGGTGAATGCTGCCATAATCCTTGCCTTCAGTTCATCATTCGTGGTACAAGGAGTTTTGTTAGTCTCTCACTCAACTGCACCCCACATATAATAATCAAGGGGGTCACAGTCTGGGGAGTTAGCCACATGTAAGGGGTGATGTGGTCATAGAAATTATCTGACAGCCATGGCTGGGTTCTCCTGCTTGTGTGGTATGATGCAGAGTCCTGTGGCCAGACATAGATGTTCCAGCAATCACTAAATAAAGTTTCTCCTTATTCTTTACCATTGAGGCTACTTGAAGTTTCATGCAGTAGGCAACAATCTGGTATATACTGTAGATTGCTTGTCATAAGACGACTGTATATAAGGGCCATACGGAAGCAAATGAAATAGTCCATATTCAGATGAAATTGGTAGGTTGTAAGAGAGACCCAAGCTAAACTTGCACTTCCTGTGCACTATATAATATTTTACACATACAAAGTCAAATTTAAATGATAAAACTACAAGAAATCTGAAATATGTAATAATAATAGTTTAAAAGTTTCATGAAATCTGGTTAGAACGATCGACAAAGTGTCATTATTTTCCCACCTCCAAAATGGTATGATTGAAACTGTGCCAACTCACCAACACCCAGCAAGGAATTCATAATATAAGGCACTGCAGTTGACATGATGTGATGTGCATCAGCTCCAAGGTGCCTCGTTAGGTACGTTGGTAGCCATTGCATAATGATGTAGTTAGACCAGTTCATACTGAAATGGGCTAGGTACATAGACCACAGTGGCCAATGGCACAGAAATTCTGTCCACCGGACATTTGTGCTATTCACCTGCAACAAAAGAGAAAGAAAATAAAAACACTTGAACAATGCAAAAAATATAATGGTCGATGAGAGACAAATTAATGAATATATTTGGTTGATATTTTTGGCCCTGCAGACCAGAATATCAATAGATTTTTTAAATGTAAGGTTCTAATAGAAGACAATGTTTTGTTCTGCCTCTCATCCATAAATTAAGGAACATATTTTATTGATTTTAAAATACATTAAAAAATGAATGGAATCAGCCTCAAAACAAAATTTTATCATCTCAGAGAAGTGTTTTTTGTCTTCCACAAGTATGGCTGATGCTAACCACTAAGAGACTAAATAATTGCATTTTCTTGGGCTAATGTATTCCACTGGAGTGAAGTTGAATGATTATATTGAATCCATTGCCATGTCTGCTGCTAAAAATTTGGTTCAGTGTGTCGTGCTAGACAATTTTTCTCACCAGAATCTATCTTACATATTTATAAGTCTACCATGCGTCCACGCTTTGAATATTGCTGCCACATCTCGTCTGGTGCTTCTACTATGTATTTAAAGATTTTTGATAAAATCAAAAAAAAGAATCTGCAATGTTATCAGTCCTGACCTCGCATCACAGCTTCAGTCAGTGTCTCACTGCCATAACGTAGCTTCCCTGAGCCTTTTCCATAAATATTTTCATGGTAATTGTTCTGATGAATATTCCTCTATAGTACATAAACTTTATGAAATTAAGTGCAGTACTAGATTGGCAGCTAGGTCTAATCATTTTACAATTGAAATAGCCGTAAGTTCTATGCTAGCAGTTTCTTCTTTCACGCTTCTTGCTTGAGGAACTCTCTTCCAGCTTCTTGCTTTCCACTCAAATTGATCTTCAAAAATTTAAATGCAATATTGTTATTTGAGTCTTTAATTTCTGTTCTTTTAATGGCCACTCGATTTAAGTTTTCTCTCAGATTTTTTCACACAAATTGCATCTTAGTGGCTTTATTGCCTGGCTTGGAGTGGAGGTGAAATGATTAAAAAAAATGTCAGATTTAACAAAAAAAAACTCATATGAAATATATAATATGTCAGAAGTTAAATTCAAGTCAAATGTTATCTGAATTTTTAGGATGAGGAGTTAACATTATTTACACTCAGACTAGTGTCCTCATCTTTGTTGTTGTTATCACAATGTTTCAATGAGTTCATGAATTTAATGATATAGTAATTGTAAGTTCAAGCCAGTTTAGTAGAAACTTAGACTCTGTGAAAATAAGACAAGCAATCACTGAGAAGTACTAAATAATAAAAAGACGAGGTATCCATAGACATGGTCAGTGGAATGAGAACAATCTACCCCTGTAGATTAAATAAAAGGTTCAGTTCAAAATTCCCTGAAGGTTTTCCAGATCAACAAGCATCTGAAGAAGGCCAGAGGTCACAACAGCCGAAATGTTGTGACAATAACAAGAACTACAAGGACAATAGTTTGAGTTTAAATAATGTAAATAAATCAAGTCCATGTAAGGAAGATATTATTAACAATAACAACATTAGCAAAAAAGTTATGACAAATAGAATAACAAATAGAATAAACAGGAATAACAAATAGAATAAAAAATAGGAATAACAAATAGAATAAACAGGAATAACAAATAGAACAAATAGAATTAACAGGAATAACAATAGAATAAACAGGAATAACAAATAGAATGAACACGAATAACAAATAGAATACACAGGAATAACAAATAGAACAAACAGAATGAATAGGCATAACAAATAGAACAAACAGGAATAACAAATAGAATAACAATGACAATAATGATAGTAATAAGGCCTCCAAACTTTTGCTACCATTGTCCAAGGATCATCCTCAAAATAAACATTAATTGTTCTAAGATCATTTTTTTAAACTTTTATTAATAGTTGTCAATAGTATAAAACACCATAAAAATGTTTAAGAAATAAATTCTAAAAAGTTAGTTTTAAAAATAACTACAAAAACAAATTAGTTAAATTTTACTGTAATTTTTGTAAAACTCACATCTTTATTTTTTTTCAAACATTTCAGAAATGTTCTTATTAATTTTCACACTCAGACTAAGTTTTATCATAATTTAGTTTAAGAATTATTCTCTATACATTTGTTTATTATTAAAAAAATATCACATTTCAACTGTACACGATTAAAAAGATTTTAAAGTCTTTATCAAAAGAGTTCTCATTTACTAAATAAGTTCACTTCTTGCTATGGGTCTCATTAAACCTGATATGGATTTAGAAAAATGTAACTGATAAATCAAAAATAGAGAAAAGGCAAGAATGAAACTGATGGTACATAAAAAACAAACTGAAAATACTGAAATATCTGTATTGGGGGTTGATGGGAAGATTTTACAAAGACAGTTTGTTGGACAGAGAAGTTAGGTTGGGAAATTAGTGACATTAAACCAAAGAAAGGGGCCAAGAAGACTATTTAACATTTCCTCAGGAAATAGGAAGTTGAAAGAGAATATCTCACAGAGAAATTCCAATTACATGTGCAAGTGGCATTGTTGTTGCTAAGGAATTTAGCAGAGTTAGAAGAGTTCAACAGTGTAGATTCCCTTGAGGTTGCTCTTCTGGACAATACAAGTAGAAATACTGGATGTCAGGCAGGACATGTCACAGCAGTGGAGGAGAAAACTGGAAGAAAAGTTACACAAAGTTGGTTGCCCATTACATCAAAATGAACTCCCATTCAGAACAAGTAAGGATAAAGTTTGAAATTAAAATAGAAATTTAAATTTTTAATTCTTTCAGAGGTGAAAATTTCTGTAATGCTGTCTTTGTTCAAAATAGCCAAGAATTAGGAAGGCCATAGTTAGAGAGAGTATCGAAGGAACAGAAGACTAGGTAAGTAAAAAAAAGAAGGGGTTTATTAAATAATCATACAGAGAACGGAAAGACTTGAGTAACTCAAATCCTACTCTAATCCTACTCTAATGTGACTACTTGATATATTTATAAGCAGTCCATTGTCACAGTAAGAGCTGGAAGTACACCAAGTCCTACTCTACAACAGGAACTAATCAAGAAGAGGTTTGAATAAAAACATAGCCATCAACCTTGAAGCTATTACACACTGGCCAAAATGAATAAATCACAAAGTAGCAATTGTGGATTTTCAACTACTGTAGTATTTTTACAAAATGATCTTCTGGTGACACAGATTAAATGACACAAAATTGGAGTTGCTTGATCTTTCATATACGCAGAGTGTTGAAAAAGAAATTAAATCAACATTTGAAGGAAAACACAGACACAACATTGCAAAAACTTTATATCATCAAATAAGACTTTTTGTTTCTAAGCGCCCATATACAGAAAATTTTGATAATGTAAATATACAGCACAACCCTCACCCCAGCTTTCCACTGACCTGCCAATGATTATTTCACATAGCATTTCGATTCTTGATCTTCTCAGTGTTTAGTTAAAACTGGAAAAGAGCCTGCTGCATGCTCACAAGGTAAGAAGATCAAAGACAAATGTTACACAGAGAAATAAAAACGTGAATCCTGTTTCCCGTATCATACATAGTTTTTTTTTATTCAGGGCTTTGCCTGCTTGCCTGGATAGGTGACTCTGGAACAACTTTTGCTATGCTAAGTCTAACAGCTAAGCCCTTCCCTACCAACTTCTTACCCATCTAAATTTTCCGACGTGTGGCTTCCTTTTCAATGTGGGGGTGCATAGTATCACAATAATTTATTTATTTAAATATTCGCAAAACATTTTTTTTAATTTACTGTTGAAATAAAACTATTTTTTCAACAAATGTTATTTTTAAATTTTTTTTTAAATATTTTTTTTATTTTTTCATGGTGATTTTTCATTGTGTTTCCAGAAATATAGGTAAAAGGTTGGAATCTAAAATTTGGGGTCAGTTATTAACTAATTAAACCCCAATTATCTTAGTTGTCCAAAGTTGATTTTAAAACGAAGTGTAAAATCAAGTTACTCTCATCTGTATGTGTGTGTGTGTGTATATATATATATATATATATATATATATATATATATATATATACACCTCTCCTTGCCAGTAGGTTATGGTTTAACAAGAAACAGGACTCCTGAGGTCTCAATGGGCAGACATATGTTTGTGCAATATAAATCAATATTTTGACTCTACATTTGCGATATGATGGATAAATACAGTTTCTCTATCCCTTAGTGGTTCCTCCAAGAAAGATACAGTCGATCTTTTGATTGATTACATTTTATTTACTTCATACCATACCAGAAAAGTAGAAAATATCCTATTATGGACCTAACTGCATTAAATAGTTATTCCTCTCCTTACCTTGGGCTTTCATCAAATAATCCAGAGCTTCCTGCTGGGCAGATGTTTGTGTGATCATATATATATATATATATATATATATATATATATATATATATATATATATATATATATAAATTTTATCACTTTAAACATTATTTTCAGTGGATACTCATATTTGAGTAAATGCTCTGTTTATTTATTAAACAATATATTTATTTTCGCCTATCAGCCAAAATATTCAAGAAAATGTATTAAGGAAAAATTTGCACTCTCTAACAGATTCTGACCTGCATCTCTGCAACCATTAGACTTGGCATGCTACAGAAAACCAGTTGATCAGACAAGGCCGAAATAGTGCTTTTCCACATATTATGACAATTTTAATTTATACAAAAAAAAAAAAAAGAATTTAAACAAGATTAAAAAAAATTTTCATTTATTTTGAAAAACTTTGAACCTTTTCCTATCATTCATGTGTGTAGTATGTTTCTGTCTTTTAGCATTTGTTTTTTATTAAATGTTCTAAATCTGCTCATTCTTTTTGAATAACCCTGTGTATGTGTATATATATATATATATATGTATATAAATAAAAAGAAAGAACAGTAAGATATAAAATCCGGTGTTCTTATAGATATTTTATTTTTACAAAATAGTGCTCAATGTAAATTTACAGAGCATTAATATTATAAATTAATTG